GCACCTCTCCTCTCTCCTCTCTCTACTCTCCTCTCTCCTCTCTCCTCTCTCCTCTCTCCTCGCCCCTCCTCTCCTCTCTCCTCTCTTCTCTTCTCTCCTCTCCTCTCTCCTCTCTTCTCTCTTCTCTCCTCTCTCCTCGCCTCTCTCCTCTCTCCTCTCTCCTCTCTTCTCCTCTCCTCTCCCCTCCTCGCGCACCGTATGGGCCAGATCCATCGCCAGCCATGCCAAGAACGGGTAGGCCGCCTGGGAGGAGAGAGGCGGGCGGTGAGGCGGCAGCGGTGAGGAGAGAGGCGGGGCGACGGCGATTCGCGACGAGGAGGTGGTGCGCTGGACCAACGGCGGAGCCCCGCCCTCTCTTTGACCCTTTGGGGACCCGCTGTGTGCGGGGCGGGGGCGCACCTCTCCTCTCTCCTCTCTCCTCTCTCCTCTCTCCTCTCTCCTCTCTCCTCTCTCCTCTCTCCTCGCCCCTCCTCTCCTCTCTCCTCTCTTCTCTTCTCTGCTCTCCTCTCCTCTCTCCTTCTCCTCTCTTCTCTCCTCGCTCCTCGCCTCTCTCCTCTCCCTGCACACAGCTGGGATGCCCAGGGACGACGGCATGAACCCCCAAGGGTGAAGCCCTCTCTGCAGCGGTCCTGTGAGCTGTGAGCTGTGCGGCCAGCAGTCCGGACCCAGTGATACGGCCGGTGACAGTGTGCCTCGTGTCGGCTCCCGAGCCAATCGTGTGAAGCGTGTGTGTGCGTGCGAGAGAGAGAGAGAGAGAGAGAGAGAGAGAGAGAGAGAGAGAGAGAGGGAGAGAGAGAGAGAGGGAGAGAGAGAGAGAGAGAGAGAGAGAGAGAGAGAGAGAGAGAGAGAGAGAGAGAGCCAATCGTGGGTGGGGGGGTGGATTGGCCAGCCGCTGGGTCGCCGCCAGCCGCTCGGCCCGTCCCGCCCGCTCCTCCTCCGCTCCCCGCTCCCACCGGCACCTCCGCCACCCTCCCACCTCTTGCGCCTCTTGCGCATCATGTCGCCGCATGTCGCCGCACGCCGTGCAGCGTGTGTGTGCGTGCGTGTGGGTCCGTCCTCGGTGCTACGAGGTGTGTCCGACTGACTGGCTGACTGAAACCCTCTCTGGCCTCCGGAAGCAGCTCCGGAAGCTCTGTCTGGCCTCCGGAAGCAGCTCCGGAAGCAGCTCTGCTGCGGCAGGTGTGTGCGTCGGTCCGGAGGTAGGGCGTGCCTCGGTGAAGACCCGGCGATGGGCTGTGGCAGCAGGTGCCAAGTGCCGCCTCTCTCCTCACCGCTGCGATCTCTCTCCTCCCGCCTCTCTCTCCTCCATCCTCGCTGCCGCACCTCTCCCTCCTCCCAGCGCACAGGGTTCAGGCTCCGGTCATGGTGTGGGAGTGGACGCAAGGGCGGCGGACGGAGGCGCGAGAGGGGTACATGCGGCAGCGGCGGCGCGGCGGGGGCGGCGGCGCCAACCGGCACGGCGGGCGCGGCGGGGGAGAGCGCGGCAGGCGGTAGCGTGTGCGGGCTGCCTGCTTGACCCACACTCCCGCCCACGAGTTCGGGTCGTCAGGGTCGACGTGCGCCGCGCTCTCGTCGGGCATCGACGCGAGGTGACGCGTCAGGTAGGCGCCGGCGAGCGTGCACCACGACGCATTGATGACGGAGCAGCAGTACGACGCTCCGTGCTCGCGGACGGTCGGTGTAGAGCTGCGTCTGCACAGCCGGCGCATGGCGAGGAAGCATGCCTCCCAGGCCACGACGAGCTGGAGCACGCGGACATGGTCGAAGCTGACAAACTCCACTCTTCTCATCACCTCGCGGGGCACTCGAGCGCCTGGAAGGCCGGCTCGCCTCTGGTGGTCGCTACGCCGCTCTGCGCGGCAGTTTCTTTTTCTAGAGGATGCCGATTCGGGCACGCCGCCGCACGACCCGGGCGCGCCGCCGCACGATCTCCTTTTTGTGGCCCTCAAAACAAAAAAGGAATAATCGGCGCAGCGGGTCGCGGTGACATCTCGTCGTTCCTCCCGGACTCGTCTCTCTCAACGGACACACGCCAGGTCTCAAGAGAGCACACCACAGCCTTGCCGCTCTTCTTCAGCCAAAGCTGATCGACACGACAAACAGGCGCTGCCGCACGCGCAGCCCTCGCACCTGCCACTCGCCGGGCGCGTGCACCTCCTCGATGGTGATCCGGCTGAGGGCCGGGACCCACCACGACACGGGGTTCTGCACGGCGTAGGCGCGCGTGCGCCGTTGCTGCGTGACCGGGTCAAAGATGGGTGCGTGGAAGCCACTGCTGTCGGGCGGCGAGCTGCGCACGGCGACAATGGCAGAGTCCCAGCACCGCCATGATTGCGTGTCATGGTCGAAAAAGGAGCAGCCCGCCTCGTCCCGAAACTGGGTGCCCTGCACACAGCTGCACTCGCACGAGGTGGTGAAGGAGCCGCCGACCCCGCACTCCAGCATCCGCCCCACCGCCCACACGGCATCGCCGTGAGCGAGGCCGTCCACGCCGTCGATCATGCCGAACAAGCGCTCCTGTGGCACTGCTGCATCTCCGGCAAGCCTGGACGCGATGCCGCAGCGCGTGTGCAGCGTGGCCGCGAACCGATCCTGTCGCTCGCGCAGCGACGGGGCGAAGGCGAGGTCGCTCTCGTTCGTCGCCTCGAATGCGACCGCGTCCGCTGCCGCCCAGCCCGCCGCCACCTTTGCCTGAACGGCGTCCTTGGCGTAATCCTCCTGTAGAAAGCTGTCCAGGGCAAACACGCCCCCGGGCATGTAGTCCGACTCGTCTGTGAAGTACTGGGACGCGTCGTCTGCGTTGAGCTGGGCTCTCCGGCGGCTCTCCTCGGCACGGAGGGCTGGAAACTCGTCTCTCCACGTGCGCGTCGGCATCGGCCCCACCAGACACTCGAGCAGCTGCAGGGCCGCGAGGCTCCTCAGCCAGCACGGCCATGCCCCTTGGCCCGTAGGCAGCTTCCGCCGCAGCCGCAGCTGCTCCTCCGCCACCCGCGTCACCAATGCGCCCCAGCCGGCGCGGGCGCAGGCCACGCGAGCCATCTCGTGCGCGCTGAGGCTGCGGAACGCGCAGCAGAGAAGCTCGTCGTCGAGGTCGCACAGCGACAGCATATGTGAAGTGGCCTGAGACGTCGCTTGCCTGCCGGCCCTGCCCGGGCCGATCCCCTACCTGCCCCGGGCGTGAAACCCACACTGCCTGCCCAAACCACACTGCCCTGCCCACACAGGTGTGAATAACTTCCCGGCTCGCGAGGTCTCGGAGAAGAGACCGTGAGCTGCCGCAACCAGAGCTCTCTACGGACAACCAGAGACCAGACACACACATGCCCCGCGTGCTGCCTGCCGTCGCCTCGACGCCGCTCGTCTACTTCGCCAGCACCGCTGCGCGGCCGTCGGACGCCGCTTCCGACGTCCAGGCCACGGTGCCGCTCTGCCGTGCGCTCAAGACGCTGCAGGGCCAGGTCCTCTTCAGTCCACAGAGCACGCTTGACGCCGACACCCTCGCTGCACGCCTCTGCCAGCTGTCTACGCTCGGCTACGTGCACGTGCTGCTCGCGAGCGCCTCCTTGGGCGAGGCCGACGGCCCGGCGGCGATCCGGGCCGCGGCCGCCGCCGTCGACGCAGGCGTGTTTGGCGCGGCGCTGGCTGTCTGGCGGTCCGTCGCGCGGCTCGAGGGCCGGGAGGAGGCGGCGAGCACTCCGGCGGCGAGCTTGGTCTTCCGCGCCATCGGCAAGCGCGGCGGGCGGGGCCACAGCTTCACGAGCGACGAAGCGAAGAGAGCTGCGAAGGCGGGCCTGACCGAGGCGACGGGGCTGCAAGGCTCTAGTGACAAGTGCGCCGCGCCGCTCGATGTGCTGGCGCAGGTGCACTGCAACCGCTTCTGGCTCGGCCTGCGCCTCAACCGCTCGCCGCTCGACCAGCGGCCTCCGACTCGCACCACCGCCACCGCCTCCTCTGCCACCGCCACCTCCGCCACCTCCGCCACCTCCGCCACTTCCGCCTCTGCCACCGCCACCTCCGCCACCGCCACCTCCGCCATCACCTCCGCCTCCGCCGCCTCTGCCTCCGCCGCCTCCGCCGCCTCCGCCGCCTCCGCCTCCGCCTCCTCCGCCTCCGCCTCCGCCGCCTCCGAGGTAGCGCCGCCCCTCCTCTCCAGCCACCTCGCGGCCCGCCTGAGCGAGCTCGGCCTCGAGCTGCCGCGCGACGCGCGGGACGTGGTTGCTCCGCTGTGGGAGATGCCGCTCGAGGGGCAGCGCGCTCGCAAGCAGGCCGAGAGGGAGCGCCTCGTGGCGCGCCGCTTCACCCGTGATGATGAGCTCATGAGTAAGGAGTGGCTAATAGGCCGAGATGGAGCGCCTCGTGGCGCGGCTGAGGTCGGCCGGCGTGCACGCAAGCTCGCCGCCGCCGCCGGCCGGCGCCGTCGAGCCGTTGCGCTTCTGCGGCGGCGGCGGCGAGCGCAACACGTGCGAGATGCACTTCGGGCGAGCGCGGGCGGGGGGCGTGTGCTGCGGCTTCCGGCTGGGGGTGGGGGCGAGCCGCGACGGCCTCGCCATCGGCGAGGCGGGCGGCGTCGCGCGCGCGCGTAGTAGTAGTCGTAGGACAGCCTTCCCTCCAAGATCCGGCCGTGGAGTGTGTAAGGCACTCGGTCCGCGCATACCGCTGCCACCACACCAAACTTAACTCCAAAGCGACCCGCGCCGGAGCAGCAGCGCTGTTCGTCTGCCACACCTTTGCCCCCCCCTCTGTGTGCCTGTCCGAGAACTGAGTCGAGAATCATTCATCGCTCCTTCATCGCTTATCAGGTTGGCGGCGTCCCGTTTGTGCCGGCCTGGATGGCGGCGGTGGCCGCGGAGGTCGGCGCCGCGATGCGGGAGTGGGAGGCCGGATTGGCGGTGCAAAGCGACGGTACACCGCCCTCGCTCCCGTTTGCGCTGCTGCGGCTGCGCGGCAGCCTCCGCACGCGCCAGTCCGTCGCCGTCCTCACCCCGACGCGCTTGGGCTCTGGCGGCGACGGCGATAGCGAGGGCGGCGGCGGCGTGGGCGGAGGCGGCGGCGTGGGCGGAGGCGGCGGCGTGGGCGGAGGCGGCGGCGATCCCCCTGGCTTGTCGCCTGCCACGACCGCCGCGACCGCCGCGCTCGCCGCGCGGATGGCGCGGGCTGCCGCAGCTCACGGACAGAGGTTGTCGGTCCTGGTGCGGAGTGCCGGCGGCTTGCTGCTCGTCGATGCGGCGGGCAGCGGCGGCGGCGAGGGAGAGGCGGAGCTGCGGGGCCATGATGGCAGCATTACCGAAGAGATGCGGAGCGGCTTGCGGCTGTCGATAGCGCCGCTCGCCTTTTTCCAGACGTGCACGGCCGCGGCGGACCTGCTGCTCGAGACGGCCCTCCGAATGAACGAATGAATGACTCATGCGTAGCTCTCAATTCGTTGTAGGCGGACCTGCTGCTGGAGACGGTCCGGTCGCTCGTCTCGGACGGCGGGCGCTGCTTCCCGCCCTTGCTGCTCGATATCTGCTGCGGCGGCGGCGCGATCGGCCTCGACGTGGCCCGTGCTGCGGTCGCGGCGGGCGCCTCAACGCGGGTGGTCGGTTTGGAGGTTAGCGGCGAGGGCGTCGCTGACGCGCGGCGGAACGCTGCGGCGAACGGGCTGCAGGGCTTGTACGAGGCGCGGTGCGTCAAGGCGGAGGACGGCATCGCCGCGGCACTCGGGGGCGCGGCGGGCGCGGCGGCGGGCGAGGAGGGGGCGGCGTGGGCGGCAGCCGTGCTCGACCCTCCACGGACCGGCCTCGCACCGGCACCTAAGCCTAACCCTAACCCTAAGCCTAACCCTAACGCTAGCCCTAACCCCCAACCCTAACACTAACACTAACCCTAAGCCTAGCCCTAGCCCTAGCCCTAACCCTAACCCCTAGACCTCCTCGTCTGTCGACTGTGCTCGACTGCTGGGAGCTCGGGCTAGGAATTCCAGGAACCTTCCCCCATAGGCCGTGTGCAAGTCTGTGCGGCAGGCGGCCTCGGTGCGGCGCGTCGTGTTTGTGTCCTGCAACCCGCACGGGTTCACGCTGCGGCGCGACTACGTCGTCAAGGGCGGGTCGCTCGCGGCGAATTTGCGCGTGCTCTGCGGCAGCCGCGGCCGCGGCGCACCCTTTGCGCTGCAGAGGGCGATCCCGATCGACATGTTCCCACACACCCCGCACGTGGAGCTGGTGCTGCTTCTGGAGCGAGGAGTGCCCCTTCCCCAGGTCAGTAGTAGCTAGTACGACACCCAGCACCCACCCCGAGTATACGCGCCGGCCGCCGCTTTTTTCGTGATGACACTAAATTGATACGCCACACGACACCTGGGACGCACGAGCGCCACCCTGTGACACGGCCCGTGTCGCGTGTGGGTCCGTGTGCGGGAGGGGACGTATAGCACGTAAAGCCGTACGTACTGTCCGTGTGACGTGTGATAAATAAATAAATAAAACGGACACCTCTCTACTGTGAGATGGGTAAAAATGAACAGGTCCCCGCCCTTGCGATCTTTGTGCAGGGTTCTTTGTGGGTGTGGTCGGCGACTAGTCGGGGTCGTCCTCCCGATGGGGGACTAGCACTAGCCGTCTTCCACATGGTCCCTCGGGTCCCTGCTGCTCCTAATCTCTTCGTACATCCTCCTGCTGCTACCCACTTTCGGTCCGCACCACTCCACACACGCCGGGGCGCACACGCGACACGGAATCGACCCCACGCCGAAGAGGCCGATACCCCCCGGAAGGCAAAACTAAACGCAAGCGCAAGTCTCGAGACGGCGTACTGGCTACAGTGTGCCTAAACGGGGTCGCAGCTGGCTCGGCCAGGCATCGCGGGCCCGATAGCACCCTCCGGAGAGAAGTACATCAACGTCACCAACGCTACACGGATTGATCACTCCCTTCCTTCGTCGTGAGCGTGGAGACCTGCTGCTATCTGGGCTCGCATATCCGCCAACTCATTGGAGATGCCGTCCGCCATATCTGTTACGCCAAAATGAGTGTCTCCCAGTCGGAGTTGTTCGTGTCTGATCAATACCAACCGAGCCTCGTCGAGGTGCTTCGTCGATTGCTGTCAGCCTCATCGAGGTGTTTCGTCGGTTCTCACTCATGGCAGAGGACAAGCGGGTCAACACTCAGTGCGGCGGACACCCGGGATGCGGTCCGGGTCAGCCTGATCCTCGAGCTTCGGTACCCGGCCGTCTCCCCCTCCGCGACGGAAGGTACTGCGTTCAGCACGCCAAGGGCTGCTCCCATCGCCAGCGGCCAGATTGCGTGGTACGCAAGCAGAATCTCAAGCATGGTGGTCGCCGCAAGGCGCAAGCGGAGCATCACACAAATGGTGGGGTTAGTGGGGACTCTGATTGATCTCTCTGATACTAGTGTCGTGAGTGAGAGGGAGTTTTGTTGTAAAACTCTCTCTGATCTCTGTCCTCTCTTCGCTAGTCTGCTGAAAAAAAACTTGAAAGAAACCCCCATTCCCAATATCCCGACGAAAGCGCTACAAGACCGTCCGAATTCATGCACCTCCAATTCTCAGCGAGAGCCCACTCACATCTCGAGCTGATCTCGAGCTTGAACCCTACCCGCCCTCTGACCGCATCTCGAACCATGCCTTTCCCCTCGTCGGTTGATGCTTTTCAGCACCTTGCTGAAATACGCAAAATCCAAAAGAAACGGAAACTCGACGCAACTGATATAGCAGACAACCCCGTCTAACTACCCGCATGCTCCCCTGCGCCGTCCACGCTCCAGAATCCACCCCTCACATCTCGAGCTCGAACCCTTCCCGCCCGCTCACCGCATCGTGAATCGCTTTCCTTCCCTTGGGGCCGATGCGGTTCTCGCGTAGGTTGAGGTTTTTCAGCACCCCACTGCCCGACACGTACTCGGCGATCTCTGCGGCGCCAGTCGGGCCGATGCTGCAGCGAGCCAAGCCCAGCGAGGTCAGCTTGTTGCGCTGCCGCTCAACACGCACGATGCCGAGGGCCGCCTCCTCGGTGAGGCCGTTCAAGCCCACATCCAAGGAGGTCAATACCCCGCTGCCCTTGAGGGCGTCGGCGATCGCGGTGGCGCCGGTGGGGCCGATCCTGTTGCCGCGCACATCCAAGGAGGTCAGCACCCCGTTGACGCCAAGAGCGGCTGCTAGCGCCTTGGCGCCCTCGTCGCCGATGTTGTTTCCCCAGAGCACGAGGTTGGTCAGCACCCCGTTGACGGAAACACCAGCCGCAATGACGGCAGCCGATCGGGGTCCTAAAAACTTGTACGACAAATCGAGCGACTTCACCGCCCCGCGCCCGTTGAGCTGCAGCGGGTTGAGCGGCATCGTCCCCTCCTCGCCCACGCTCAGCGCGACGAGCGTGCGCGTCGTCCGCACCACGTCCAGCACCGCCTCCCGCACGCGGCCGCACACCTTGCCCCAGTCGAGCGTCAGCGACGTCAGCGCCGACGGCGCCGACTCCATCCACGCGACAACCGTTCCCACCATCTCGCCACCGTCGCCAAGGTCGAATCCCGACAAATCGACGCTGCTCGCCAGCAGCGGCAATGCCGCCGCTGCCTTGGCCTCCGCCTCTGCCATTGCCTTGGCCTCCGCCTCCATCCGGTGTGCATCCCGTCGTGCCTGCACCTTCTCCAGCTCTTGAAGGGCGTCCTTTTCCCACGGGCCCTTAAGAGCAGCACCGCGCGCGCGCTCAATCTCATCGACATGCTCGGCGCAGCGGAACGGGTCTTTGAGCACATCGCGAGCCTCGTTGAGCCGCTTCGATGCTGCTAAGCAGCCCGCCTCCGCCTCCGCCTCTGCCCACCCCTCCGCCTCCGCCTCCGCCGCCGCCGCCGCCGCCTCCGTCTCCGCCTCCGCCGCCTCCGCCTCCGCCTCCGCCTTCGCCTCCGCCTCCTCCTCCTCCTCCTCCTCCTCCTCCTCCTCCTCCTCCTCCGCCGCCGCCGCCGCCGCCGCCATCGCCTCCGCCGCCTCCGCCCCCTCCGCCACCCACGCCGCCGCCAACACCGCCGCCTCCGCCTCCGCCGCCGCCGCCGCCGCCGCCGCCGCCGCCGCCGCCGCCGCCTCCGCCGCCGCTGCCTCCGCCGCCGCTGCCTCCGCCGCCGCCGCCTCTGCCACTGCCTCAGCCGCCTCTGCGAGCAGAGCTGCGTCCGTCAGACGGTGATTGTCCGGGTGAACAGCCCGAATGCGTTTGAGGAAGGCGCGCTTCAACTCAGAATCGTCCACAACCCGGCTCACCGGCAGGCCGAGCGCCTCAAAATGGTTCGGCGCGAACACGACCTCGCGAATGGCCGGAGGGAATTCGTTGCGAACGGCCAGAGGGACTTCGTTCATCTCGGCTTTCGAGACGGAAGGGCGCTGCTCGCCGAGGGCGCACGAGACGATGCTGAACTCCTCCCCGAGCCTTTTACTCTGGTGCAAGTCAATCAGCTTGAGAGCATACGGCAGGTCGAGCTGCAGCCCGACGACGATCGAGCCCTCCTCCACCCAGAGCACCTCGATCGCCTCGGCCGCGACGCGGTGCGGCCGCAACGCACGCTTTACATGCATGGTAATCTCGCCGCTGGCGGCCTCCTTGTCGGCAGCGGAAAAGTCGGAGCTCTCGCTGCCGCTCGCGCTGGCGGACTCCGAAGAGCTTGACTCGTAGCTCAGGTAGCCCTGCTCGTCGACCTCGACGCGGACGAAGAAGCTCGGGCTCGTCTGCACCTCGTGCTGCCGACGGCCGCCTTGCTTGACCAGTCTGACTTTGAACTGGTCGTCGGGCCGCATGTCAAGCTTCTCGGCGAGCCTCGCCTTGAACGCTCCGCTGTCAAAGGGCGGCGGACCGGTTAAGCTGCCCTCGATGGTGATGGTAAGGATGGTGGAGGCGCCGCTGCTGCCTGATGAGGATAGCGTCGCGCTGCGCTCTTTCCCCGCAGCCGCCGAGGGCGGCGTGGCAAGAGCAGCCGAGTGCTCATCGAGCTGCTGTCGTGAGACGCCGCCGAGAGGTATCGGCTGTATCAGCGGCCGAGTGGTCAGACGCCGGTCGCGCTGAATCGCGTCGCGCTTTGCCAGCGCATGCTTCACCTTCAGCTGCTCTACCTGCATCGCCGCGACTGCCGCCTCTACCTGCTGGTCCGCCTCCAGCGCCTCGCGACCAAGATCGGCCTCGCGATGCTGCCTCAGAGCATCACGTGTGCTCGAACCGTCGTTAATCACCACCTGCCGCGTCTCCTCCGCCTGCTGCTGCACCTGCTGCCGCAGAGCCGCGGCCTGGACCTGCGCCTCCAAATGCATCGCCTTCCTCAGCTCCTCAAACGCCGACGCCTGAAACGTCATGCCGTTCACTTCGTCGATGGCCCGCAGCATCGCCTCGCATGACGACACGTCCAGCGCCTTCACGTGGTCCTTTGCAAACGCCTGGAGCATCGAACGAAGCCCCCGGTACGCCTTCAGCGGCAGCGTCAGCCGGCCGGGGTTGGCAGCGTGCGCGATGAGCTGATTGCGGAAGTCGTTGATCGCCTTGAGGTCGTCCCGCAGCGACGCCGGGCAGCCCAAGTCGAGCCAATGGTCCGTCCAGACGCTCATATGCAGCCCGCCGTCCCACTTCTCCGGCAGCCCCGCCCTCAGCTTGTCGGGCGCGTTGCCCTTTGTAGCCTCTGAGCTGGGCCGGCAGCCGAGCACCGTTTGCCGCAGCACCTGCAGCTCCACATCGAGCGGGCCGCTGTAGGCGGGGTCGACAGGCAGCCGCGACGCGCTGTACTCGGCAGCACGCTTGCCCGGCGTCACGCGGTATTCGCCCAGCAGCGAGCCGCCCGGCGCACGCAGCGTAAAGCGAACGCGCGGAGGGAGCTTGCCGCTCAAATCCTCTGCGGTCAGCATGATCGACGCCGAGCCGCGCTCGAATGTCACGGTGCCGAGGAGCTCGAGATCAAAGGACGGCGAGCCGTCGACCAGGAGGCCGCCTCGCGATGCGTCCCACGGCAGATCCGGGTAGCGCCGATTCCACAGCGCTTTGAAGCGGGGAGCGAAGAGGTGCTCGGGCGCGGCGGAGAGGAGCAGCCGCGCCGCGCGCACCCAGTACAGCTCGTCTCTACGCGCGTCGACGTCCGCTGGTTGGAGCTCCATGTGTGCGGGTATATGTCCCTCAACCTGCGTCAGCGTGCACACTAGCGATCTGCAAGCGCCGATTTTGAGAAACCTTTTTGCAAAGAATTTTACAAGGAAAGGCGGTCGCACGACACGATTCGCGCGACAGGCGAGGCGCGGGCGACGGCTTCCTCAGAAAACGCGCAAAGCCCAGGCCTAGGGCTTTCCTACCCAAGCCGGATTTTTATATAGCAGCTCCTCTCTACCGAGAGCTGTCTTTCTCGCCCGAGGCTCGCCGTGGCCCCACACGGCAGCCTCTGCTCGCGTTTTCGAGCCAGGACCTTCGTCCGGGCCCATGGCCGGCACGCCATCGTCGATTCCGCGCGCTCGGCTCCACCGGCTTGCTGTGCGGACGGCTTCTTGTCGCTCTCGTCGAGAGCGTTTTGGCGGCCCGGCGGGTGGGAGAATCTGTGTCGTCTGATGTGTCACTGTGTACGTCACATCGGTCTTGATAACAAGCACGGTCGATCCGTCGAAGCGATATACTCGTCACGTCACGCTGGACGGCTTGCACGGAGCTCTGTGCCGGCACACACAGGAAGAGCCGTACGGCAAGAAGAGCTCGATAGGGAGCGAGAACCGTTAGAGGTGCTCCGAGAGGTATCAAGACTCCGTCATGACGCGGTAAGATCACTCCAAAAATGACCGCGCAGATGTCGGATCTCGTTGAGATATCTTGCAAAATCTGCTCTTCCCGAGCCGGCAGCACGCAGAGAGTCGCAGAAAGGCTACGAGTGCTCGACGAGTTTTGAGACCTGCGCGGTCAAACCTGGGGGGAACTGACCGCACCAGGACGGACGTCCGAAACCTGCGTGAGCACCTTTGACGATTCTCGCTCCCTATCGAGCTCTTCTTGCCGTACGGCTCTTCCTGTGTGTGCCGGCACAGAGCTCCGTGCAAGCCGTCCAGCGTGACGTGACGAGTATATCGCTTCGACGGATCGACCGTGCTTGTTATCAAGACCGATGTGACGTACACAGTGACACATCAGACGACACAGATTCTCCCACCCGCCGGGCCGCCAAAACGCTCTCGACGAGAGCGACATGAAGCCGTCCGCACAGCTGCTCGGACATTACCGATCATGACGAGCGGCGAAGGAGTGCTCCGCTGGGTCACGCCACGGGGGCCCGCCGCCTCAGATGCGACTTTCGGAGGTTGCAGAGCGCCTGTTCAGTCTACGCTAGACTGAACAGGGGGCGGGCCCTGCTATATAAAATTGAGCTTGGGTAGCTAGCATTCTAGGAGAGTTTTATTTGAGAGTTTTATTTGAGATTTGTTTCTAGGGGTGGTGTAGGGCCGGGGAGCTGAGGAGCGCACCCAGCGGGCCGGATGATCGGGATCGGGTTGCGGGCAAGAGAGCCCTAGCCCCGCGGGGGTGCGCGTTCGCAGGGCAAGGGCCGTAAAGTAAACACGGGTCTCCGAGGGTTGGCTCCGCGCTCCGGGTTTCCCCTAGCAGCAGACCGCCCCAGAAAGAAAGAAAACAGACAACCCAAGGGAGGGATGGGAGCAGACCGCCCCCTCTACTCGGGCCTGGATTGGTTAAATTCTTTTCGACAAGGAGGACTTGCATCATGCTGGCCGTGTCCTCTGCCGCCCTGTTCGGCCTCGAGGCCGGCCGTTCTGTGATGTCGCGCACCTGGGTGAACTTCTCACCGGCGATGTCGCTCGCGTACAAAAAAGGCGGCGGGTCGTTTGACCGGACTCACGAGTGCGACGATCATCACCGTGTCGGCGTGTGCTGTTCTGATTGCGGCAGCAAGGATGGCGGCGGCGGCAGCAAGAATGGCTGAGGCAGCGGAGGAGCGCACCGGCGAAACAGCCCCTGTCCGGTGCGAGCTGGCCGTGCTGGCGTGCAGCCCTCGCAGGGCGCCACTTGACAACGTAGTGCTCGAGGGGCTCGAGGCGTCTCTCCACCTGCCTGCATCGGTCCTTTGCGGCGGGACCTTCAACGACCTGTGCCGTCTGCTTGGCCGCCGTGCGACGCAGCGCTTCCTCTTCGCGGGGCATGCCAACGCTCGCTTCGGTTCGGCTCGCCACACCCTTGGTCTCACCACCGCCGACGGACGCCTCGCGCCGCCGCCGCCGTTTGCCATCGCCGCGCTGCTCGGCCGGCAGTGTCTTCTTGCGTCACCTGTCCTGCTTCCTACTCGGCCATTCATCCTCACCTCCCTCTGCGCAATAGGCACTCGCCGCGCCACGGCGGCGCCCTCGAGTTTGTCATGTACAACGGCTGCAAGTCGGAGCGGATCGCCCTCCTCACCCTCCTCTCGGGCGTCGACTATGTCTGCTACTGGCGCACGCTCGTCGAGACGACGGCTGCGCGCTTTCTGTGCGCGGCGCTCTTCGAGGCCGTCGCGGCTCGCCGCCATCGAGCGGGCAGGCCCTGCTACCAGTGGGCGTTCGACGATGCGTGCGGGGCCCTCGTCGGCGAGCCGCGCCCACGCACGGTGCAATGGGCCGACGCACCACCCAATGCTGACCTGCCGATGCGCTGGGAGATGCGCGACCCGGAAGAAGGCCCGCAGCTGGGCCGCTATCCACTTCCCGCAGGAATCCCCGTGCTGCTCACACCTCGCGACCGGAAGGAGGCCGCCCGCACTCTCCTCCGGGCGGCGATGCTGCCGCGCATCGCGCTGCGCGCGTGGGTTTGCCGCGCGCGGGAAAGGCGTGCGCTCCGGATTCGGACACGGAGCGAGCTGTTGATGACGCTTGCGCGCCGCCAGATCCCCCACGACGCGGTGCTCATCATCATGCAAATGGCAGGTCAGCCGTGAGGAAGCTCCGAGATCCCCCCCGCTGCGGCGCCGCTATCAGACAAGCTGAGGCTGAGCGCGGCCCTACATTATGCGCTCCCCCCACACCACACATGCAAAATAATGGGGACGAGAGCTTGGCTTTGCCACGCATGCACGCGCTTGGTTATGCGCTGCGACGGCGAGCCACCCCGCTGAGCTTGCGCGCACGCAAGCGCTAGTGCATAGTCTGCTGTACATGTCTGTGCAGTCTCTGGAGGCGCCGGACACCCATGTCCTGCGAGGAGGCGCGTATCTACGTATCTGGAGGCTCCGCACCCGTGCCCAGTATTGTGCGAGGGAGTTTTGTTGTAAAATTCTTCGTGGTCCAAGTCACCGTCGAGGTCGTCCCGCGCTTCGTTCAGAATCCCTTTCACCTTTCTGATTCTGTGCAGCACGTCCGCCGCCTTCCAGAGAGGATCTCGCCGACCCTGCGACGGTAAGCTACCCAACGCGGCCAAAGGATATCCACCTCGAGAACCTCGAGAGGTAAGGTAACGCCAAAATCGGTTCTTTTTTCGCGGGGGAGGGCTCGAGAAGGTGCCCGACACCGCGGCGGGTTTGGCTGCTGAGCGGCCCAACCCCGTGGAGGAGGTTTCCACCGGCGGCGCGGCGCCGGCGGAGGGGGAGGAGGGCGGCCCGCCCTCGCTCGCTGCTGATGGACCTGGACGTGCCCCATATTGGGGGCCCGCCGGCATTACCCCGCCCGAGACGCCGGTCTCGGACGCTGCCGGCGCGCCCCACCCTTTCATTCTGTTAGATGAGGCCACGGGTTCTAAGGCGGGCGAGGCGGCTGCTGAGGCGTTGGCGGAGGCGGCGGTCGACGCTGTCTACGGGGCGCTCGTAGCGGCGACGCTCGAGGAGTGGGCGGGCGCGAGCACGGACAACCCCGTCTCCGCGGAGGACGCTCGAGGCCCAGGCCTCGAGTGTCAGGATTGCTTTGGGCGCTTTTACGACGAGTTTGGCGTGGAGCCGTGGCTGTGGCGCCGGGCGTTGCGTGAGGGCTGGTCGGAGCTGGGGGGCTGGTCGAGAGAGGAGATGGAGGCGGCGGAGAAGGAGATCTGGCGCGGCGAGAGTTCTGAGATCTCTCAGCTAGGCGAGTGGGTCTGCGATGCTTGCTTGGAGGGCTATTTGGGGGGGGGCGTTGGCGACTACTCGGAGCTGCGCAGCGGCTACGTTGCGCCGTATCCGAGTAACCCCTGGATAGGTCGCTCGCGCGACCTCTCCTGGATGCGCAAGGGGCCCATAGGGGTCACGCGGAGGGAGGCGCTGTTAGCGGCGGAGGAGGCGAAGGCGGCCGCGCGGGCGGCGGAGAAGGCGGCGCGGGCAGCGGAGGGGGGGAAGGGCGGCGGCAGCGGGCGGCAGTCCCGCGAGGCACGCCGGCGGAAGGGTTCGTCTTCGCGGGGCGGGGTGCGCACTGCGCGCCGCGAGGATGAGGAGCCTGAGCCAGGGGAGGGTTGGGAAGGGGGGGCGAGGCCGGAGGAGTATGACGGCCTCTTCGACGGCCCATAAGGGGCCGTTGTCTGCTGTGCCTTTTGTGGTGCTAGTTCGTGCCAGTCTGCTGTGAGAGGGGCGCGTTCCAGAATTCTTTTTTCGACGACCGCCGCCGTGCCTGCATGGATCTGCCCCCCCCCGAAGAAGTTTGGGCCCACCCTGAGCTCGACATCGATGAGGAGAAGCTGGAGCGGTGGCGCAGGCGCCATGGCGGCGACCTGGAGCCGGTCCTCACGAGCAGCGCCATCGCCCTCGTCGATGCGCAGTGGATCGTCGACTTCGCCGGCGCGGGCGGCATCCTCACCCACCGCCAGGCGCTGCCCGACGAGGCCTTCATCTCGCTCGCCCGCCTCGTCGACGCGACCATTCCGTACGGTGGGCTTCCCGTCGCCGCGCTCTCCTACCCGTGGCTGACCAAGGAGCACCCCGACCCGCGCGGAGCCAACCTCCGCCGCGTCGCAAAGGCGCTCAAGGCCCTGTTGCGCCATCCGGAGCACGGCAGGCTGCGGCTCGGCGTGTTTTGGGACTTTCTCTCGCTGCACCAGCACCCCGACCCCGCCAACGGCGTCATGCGCACCGAGGCGGAGAACGCGCTCTTCAAGCAGGGGCTGGGCTGCCTCGGCACGCTCTACTCCCACCAGCACACGACCGTGCTGCGGCTCACCTCCTTCCCGGCGGGCCACAACAGCAGCTGCTTCTCGCCGTTGCTGGCCTGGATCACGGGCACCAACGTGGCCGAGTACTTTGACCGCGGCTGGTGCTACACGGAGAACGCCTGGGCGAGCCTGACCAAGGACGGGAAGAAGTCGCTTGACCTCGGCCTGATGCGTGACGATAAGGAGTATTGGTGCTGCTTCTCCCTGATCAACGAGTGCGTCAAGGGCGGCGGCCGGCGCCCTCCGCTGCTGCCTTCTCAGTTCGCGGCGGAGCTGGAGACGAAGAGCTTCACCAACGGCAAGGACGACAAGCCGCTCGTGAAGCGGCTGTACGAGGCCGCCTTCGAGGAGCAGTTTGGGCAGACCAAGTGGCTCAACTACCGTGGGCTCGGCTGGGGCGACGCGGAGGCGGCGCAGCTGGCGGAGGTGATTGCGAGCGGGGTCGCCCTGCGGCTCAAGTATCTCGACCTCTCTTCCCTCCAGATTGGCAGCAAGGGGCTCAAGGCGCTGGCCGACGCCTTCGGCAAGGAGGGGAGTGCCCCGCGACTCGAGGGGCTGTATCTCAACCACACCCAGATCGGCAATGAGGGGCTCAAGGCGCTCGCCGCCGCGCTCAAGGTGGGGGCCGCCCCGAGCTTGAAGGTGTGTGCAAGCACACACAGCCAGTTGCACACACACCTCCGGCCGAATCTGACGCGTTCTTTGCGCGTGCTCCGCTCAGATTCTCACTGCGGACCGCAAGCCGCCCGAGCTGGTGTCGGTGTGCGAGGAGCGCGGCATCGAGCTCGCGTCCCGCCGGATTTGGCAAGGGAGGGAAGGAATGTCATAGGAGTCTCTAGCTGCATGTTGGTTCATGCTAGCACAGCGGCGGGAGTATAGCGGCGGTAGTTTTGGTGCAGGTGTGAGGGGGGGCGGCAGCGGCGGCGGGTCTGTGGCGCCAGTGCTTGGCCGCTGCGGAGACATTCTGTTTGCGGGTGACGCTGTGACCACAGTGCCATGTGGCTGACCCTGACGGACGGCCGTTAGCTTTACATATTCACACATAACTTGTAACCAACCCCGGCAACGGGCAACCGCAACGCGCAAGGTCTCCAAGTTGCAAGTACCAAGAGGACCCTGACCCCCTTTTTATACGGCCAACGTACGGCTTTGTGCTGTTTACCGGGCGAATTATCACCCCCCCCCCCCCCCCCCCCCGATATTCGAGTCGAGAGTCGGCGGGCTTTTCCACCCGGCGCCATCGACCACGTGCCCCTGCCGGCGGTCATGGCGGACCGGCAGCCCTCCTGGCGCGACCCACGTACCCACGGATGGCCCCGCAGGTCCGCTGCGTTAAAAGGTCT